ATGTTTTTATAAAAGCTAAAATTACTCTCTTAAATTTTTTTTAGTGATTGTTTTCTCAGCTCGAGAATAAAGTCTGTAACAGTGGTAGGCATACCGTAGATGCTTAGTAAACATGTGGTGGGATCTCCACCTCTGTTCAGCTGGAGGGCAGGGTTACTGTGGAAGGAAATGCTCAGTGAGGGTTCAACAAATGAAGGAAACTGTCCTTGCCCTCCGGGAGCACCCCTAGGAAGAGAGAGAGGAGTGTGGAAATGGGCTGCGCCAAGCACACAGACGTGGGCGTAGCTAGGAAGGGATGCCCCGAGGTGGAAGCACGTCTAGAAAGGGGGCCTCATGTGCAGCGTCACACAGGGGGGCTGTGCAGCTCTGTGGAGGAAGTCATACTAAGAGCAGAGAGCTCCGAGTTCTAGTCTCCGCACTGCTACCCGTGGAGAAGCACTGAGCAAGGTCTCTCATCTTTCTTCTCTCCCCAGCCTCAGTTTTTTTCTGTCTATATAGTGAATTTTAACTAAAATCCACTAGTTTTGTAAATATTGTGGTGTAACACTCGTGTTCGGTTTACCTTCATGGAAGGTATGTCTTACGTTTACTATTGAGTGAAAGATACTCTATTTTTGGTTACTAATAAGGAATGTAATAGTAATTTATGAAGTTTATACTTTGCATGGTGACTTCACGTGTCCTTAATCAGATAAATGAAATAAGATTAGCTGATTCGTGCAGACACACATTTGCATTTGGAGTTCTTTGAACATGTGGAATGTCAAACATGTAACAGTCTAAGGCTCTATATTCTTAAGTTTTTATAATAAACATTTATTTCTTTTGTAATAAGGGGAAAAACCCAGTAGTAGTGCCTGAGTACTCATCTCCTTTCCCATAGCCGTGACTCTGGTTGGCTTTTCTTAGACGTAGTTGGAAGCATCTAGGCGTGATCTTGTGAAGTTTGACTTGGGGAGCAAAGAATTGGCCTTTGGTATTTTGCCTCTGGAGAGTTTTATTCTCTCTTCCATTAAAACAGCTTTATGTTTATAACTGGTCTCCAATCAGTGTTTAGACTATTAGTAAATTATCAGTCTAACTGCATCTAGCTGATTTGTCTCCCTGTTTCTAAGTTGGAAATGAGAAGCTGCTAATTAATTAAATTTTAGCCTAGCATATCTGATCCCTTCAAAAACATGATGTGGATCATACACACTAACGCCCTTTGAAACCAAAGTTTTTGAAGATAGCCATGCTGAATTAAAAGAAAACTCTATCTTAAGTTTTTAAGTTATTCTTACGTGGCTTACAATATTTTGGTTTTATTTATAAATGCATGTAAAGCCCCTGTGAAGCCTGGTGTGGAATAACACAATCAGAGATCAGCACAGTCACTTTGTGAAGCTGTTTTCTACTCGGACAGAACCAAAATACAGTCAGCCCTCTGTATCTGCAGGTTTTGTATCTATGGATCTAACCAACTTCGGATCCAAAGTACTTGGGAAAAAAAATCCCAGGAAGTTGAATTTACTATGTGCCAGCACTGCACTGAACCCACATGAACGCAGAGATGTGTGGGCACACCTGGCGCAGCCTGTGTGCAAATACAGACCATATGCAAATACCATGCTGTTTTGTGTACTGGGCCAGGGTGTCCTCTGACCTGGGTGTCCACGGGGGCGGTCCTAGACCCCCCAGGATACCCAGGGACGAGTGTGTGCACTACCCGAGGGCTACGAGGCTGACAGGTAACAGAGCAAAGCGTTTGGAGGTGATCAGGGGACAGAGCTGGCAACACATTGTTAGGGATTTGACTCACTGCTTTATCCAGTGACTAACTTACTTAATACCAGTTTTTTAAAACATATTTTACTGTGGTAAAATACACGTAACATAAAATTTAACATCTTAACCTTTTTTTAAGTGCACAGTTCAGCGGCAGCCACTACATCCACAATGTTGTGCAACCATCACCATCATCCCTCTCCAGAATCTTTCCATTTTGCAAAACTGAAACTCTGTCCCCACTAAACACCAGCTCTCCATTCCCTCCTCCCCCAGCCCCTGGCCACCCCCATTCAACTTTCTGTCTCTGTGAGTTTGACTACTCTTGGTTGCTCATAGAAGTGGACTCATATGCTGTTTGGCTTATTTCCCTGAGTATAATGTCCTCAAGATTCATCCATGTTGTAGCATGAGTCAGAATTTCCTTCCTTTTTAAAATGACTGTATTTTTCAATTACAGTTGACACACAATTATATTAGTTTAGGTGTAAAACATAGTGGTTAGACATTTCTATACATTACGAAATGTTCACCCCGATAAGTCTACTACCCACCTGGTACCATATCAGTATTATTGATTATATTCCCTGTGCTATACTTTACATCCTTGTGGCTGTTTTTATAACTGGCAGCTGTACTTAGATACTATAAAACTTGAAGGTTTTTGGTTTAAAAAATGTGTGTGTGTATCATAGTCTGTAGACGATTGGCTCTTTCTCTTCAGATGGCATACATCGTCAGGGAAGTTGGGCAGGAGATACCCAGCCTAAGGTGGATTCATGAAATTCAGTGCTTAACCTTATGCATACTGCTTAAAACACAGGTGTTCCTTTTGTTGGTTGAATACTGTCTGATTTTTACTCCCGTGTCATTTACCTGCATGGAGATTAAGAAAGCCCCTTTTTATTAAATAAGCTTGAAAACAAGATGAATGCACTAGGTTCTTGGGTAGAATGTATTGGATGGCTCCCTTTATAATGAGCATTTAGAAATCTGTCCTCCTAAAACTAAAAAGCATTTTCTCCTGTACGGAAAGCAATATAGCACTGAAATATTCCTCCTTAATTTTGGCCCGAGTGAACAAAAGTGTCTGTGTTTATTCCTGCCTAATGCATCACAAATCTGCTGACATGCTAACCTTGGAGCCTTGGCTGGCGTTAATCAGGCCTGTGCACCGGCAGGAAAGATGTACCTAATGCACTCCATCAGTGCAGTTTGCATATGGAAGTTCTCACAGGGGAGCTGCCCCGTGCCAGCTGAGGGTTACCTGCCCACTGCAGTTATTGTATGTAATTATCGAACCAATCTGTTCAGCCCAGCAGGGTTTAGATGGTAATCATGAAGCAACACTTCGGAAAAGAAAGATGTAAGGCACTTCCCCTTCTCTCATCAGTTATAGAAGTTACAGCCACTCTTACAGCTATTTTTGAGACAGAATACTTCCATATACAAATCTGCTAAGTGAATGCTTTTCAAGTTTCCTGAGCTTTAGTGAAGTCATTAGTTTTGTATTTGTGAAGCCTTTTCTTTGGGAATGTGGTGGGTATCTCTGAGTCCTCATCTTTCACAGCCGCCTTAAGAATATTTGAAACCGTGGGATTAATTGTAGTACATAGATAGTAACAGTTGTGACCATTTGGAGGTGTTAAGATAATGCGGTTTGAGTGAGTCGGGCTTTCCTGTGTGGTTCTCTTTGGAACAGAAGCCCATTGCCATCAGGAGGAACAGTGTGCTGTCAGCAGGTGTCACACTCTCGTACAGCCGCTCGCGGAATGGCCCGGAGCAAGGAGAGTTCTCAGATGAGGGTTAACTTAATGTTAATTGTTAGAAAATATAAATGAGGCCATTCTGATGCATTGTGAATCTGTAAAATTTGCAAAGTATCAGATGATTTCCTAAATGATACACACTTATTTTAGGCAACCTAGAGAAGCTTTGAGTTATAATTTGCATTTTAACACATTTAAATTTGAGACTGCATGGGATAAAGTTATATGAAAAATGCAAAGTTTTAAATTATTTCTAAGGTCTTCCTGTAGTTATCCTTACATATAGAGATGGTAAGTGATTTAAAAACTTTACACAGGAATGGACTAGTTAGAAAATGGTGTCGTGATGGAAAACAACAAAAAGAAATTGAAGGAACAATTGGGAAGAATGAATGGTAACAGAATATAACCATTAACTCCTACGTCACACAACTAGAAAAATAAACAGAAAATAGAAAAGGCCTGAGGGAATGGTGGAAAATCCAACCAGTTGCTGAGATTTTCAGAGAGCTGTTTACTTTTAAGACCTTTCCTTTATAGTAAGGTTATGGCCCTCTTAAACTTCTAATAAAAATATTCCAAAAGAAAATATACCCCCCCCCCCCCCGAAACACAGTGTAAAATGGGAGAATAAGTATCATTGGCCTCAGTGAGTGATGATATCAAGTTTATAAAACACTTGGCTTTAGAAGAGAGTTTCTGATCATTAAAACATGGCTTTCAATAATGAACTGTATGAAGTATAAAAAGTTAGAGGTGGATACAACAAATATGCCCACCATTTAGGCTAACTGAATAGTTAAGGTTCTCTAATCCCATTGTCTTCCACTCACACCCCTTTCCTTAGGGGCCTGCTACCCTGACGTTGTGTACAGTACCCCCCCACCCCCCACCCACATTTCTCTTTCCTTGGTTTCAGTTCCCTGCGGTCAGCCATGGTCTGAAAATATTAAATGAGAAATTTCAGAAATAAACAATTCTTGAGTTTTAAATTGCGCACTGTTCTGAAAAGCATGATGAACTCTCTCGCCATCCCGCCTAACACGTGAATCATCCCGTTATTATCAAACCGACTGTTGCAGTAGCACAGTGCTTGTGTTCAGGTCACCCTTATTTTAATAATGGCCCCAAAGTGCAAAAGTAGTGATGCTGGCAATTTGCATATGCCAAAGAGAAGCCGTCAAGTTCTTCCTTTAGTGGAAAGGTACCTATGTATAGTGAAAAATGTAGTACACTGTATATATGATTTGGTACTATCCGTGGTTTCAGGCATCCACTGAAGGTCTTGGAATATAGTATGTATCCCCCTCAGAGAAGAGGGGGCTGCTGTATATTTTTTTAGTATGTTTTAACAGCACACCTGCATAGATTCGTGTATAATACTAAGATACAGTGTTTGTGTATTTACTTATTTGACCATCAGACTATATCTTTCTCTCTTTTTAAATATTTATATGTGAAAAGCGAAAGAAAGAAACTGAGAAAAGTTCAGAAGCTAGTGTCGAAGAAATGGAATGCTTAGATACACAGACAGAAGAAGCCATGCAGACGCGTAAGTTGAACAGTCTTGCTTGTTAACTTTCTTTTCACTGAATAAGGGCTTAACTACTCGGGTCATCACTTTGAGATTTTATAATAAAATATCATAGGAGAAGCTCTTATATTTGTATAGTGTGTATCACAGTGTCTTTTGTGTGCACATTGTGTTATGTACTGCTCACAGTAATCATGATGTTGGGACTGGGAGCCTCTCTCATTTTGCAGATATGGAGCCCAAGACATCGAGTGTTTAAATGACAGAGACCTTGCGCCCTGGCCGGGTGGCTCAGTTGTTTGGAACATCGTCTTGTACACCAAAAGGTTTCGGGTTCAATTCCTAGTCAGGGCACATACCTAGGTTGTGGGTTCGATCCCCCACGGGAGTAACGTTTGGGAGGCAACCGATCGATGTTTCTCTCTCGCATCGATATTTCTTTCTTGTGCTCGCTCTCTCTCTCTTTCTCTTTTCCTTTCCCTTCTTCTCTCTCCAAAAAAAATCAATAAACATATCCTCAAGTGAGGATTAAAAAAAAGAGTCGTTGGGAAAGGGTTAGACAGAGACAGCAGAACTCCTGCTTCTCAGGCCAGCCTCTCTATCCCCGCACACGAGTGGGGAGGAGCGCGAGCGGCAGGGGTCGGGCCCCAGCTCACGCACTTCCCGCGGCCACCCAGCTCCTTGCTCTCCCTGCCTGGCCATTCCCCACAAGATGCCAGCCCTCCGCTTTTCTCAGCAAGTTCGGACACAAGGAATTAAAGCCTAGAATCATCATTTTTCAGAGCTTTTGAAGCAAAAGGCAAAGTTAACAGTCATCAGATGGCTCCTAGACGGGCACTGAGAGCAGTTCCGGTGTGGAGGGTTCCTGAGCGAACCCGAGAGGGCAGCGTCTGCACAGGGCTCGCTGGGGCCTTCGTCTGGGCTCCAGGCGCCTGTGGGGAGCCCAGAACAGGGCAAGTGCGTCCCTATCATAAGACATGGTTTACTTGACTGTGAAGAGAGCTCCAACGCTGGCTCGAGCACCGTTTCTGTCCTGTCTTCCTTTTGTTTGTTATTTTGTTGGTTCTTGATGCAAAAGGCTTATTTTAGGTAAAATTTCATTACAGTGTTTATGCCCTGTTGAGTAGGTCGGGGCACTGCTCCTTCCCTCCGACAGGTGCCAGTGCATGCCTGTGGGAGGCAGACGTCTGCTTTTCAGTGAGAACCATCTCCGCCCCGTTTGATCAACACGTTCTTCATTATATATCATTGATAGAACATCTTAGGTTTATGTGAATTTACCCAAGAGAACACTTGGGATGTCTGAAGTAGTCTCCATCTCTTTTCTGCTGCCGTCTTCCATTTCCTCCCTCCCTCCCCCGCCCCTTCTGTCTTGTTCGTTTTGTTGTTAGGAAGTGAGGAGTCCTGAGGAGCAGTACATCGAAGCATGTCTCAGCCAGAGGCTAGCAGCAGCAGCTATGACAGTGAGTGGGAGCAAAATTTAGGAGCATTTATAAAGGCAGAGTATTCTTGCTTTAAAAACTGCCTTAAGTTCGGAAACAGGCAGGGTTACTTTAGGGGGAGGTCCTGCATTGTTCTAGTAAGGCTGATGCCCACTTAGACCAGAGCGAATGCACAGTGGTGCCTGGGGAGACTGTCTCTCTCAACAACCTGAAGGTCATTGTTTCCTGAGCTTTGCTCACTGGGCATCTGAGGTATTTGTTTTGATACCGCAATGATTTTAAATTTGACTATAATTATAAAAAATGTTTTTTATGCCTAAAATTTTAATTGAAGTTCCTTATACTGATAGTTTTTACTGTGAGAAAATATATTAGTATTTTTGTTTTATTTAATAATGACAAAAGAAGAGAGTCGATCCCATTGCTAATTTAAGGAAAACAATTCAGATATACTTTTGGTATAAAAAAAGAAGATAAAGAATAATCAGATTCTCCCTTATTCACATTGCTTTACTTAAATGCTGTCTATTTTCCCATTGTGATTTATTTTTTTCCCTAAAGTATATGGCTAGTTAAGGTATTTTACTACCCAAATATTAAAAAATGAGCATAATATCACCTGAGACAGTAAAATACTGCTTCTAGCAAAAAAAACACAAGGGGTCAGAAAAATGTATATATTTGTATTCATCAGTTTCAACTACCTTGACTAACTTGAAGAAGGCACATTATTATATTCAACTTTTTAAAATGAATGTAATCCAGTTCACTGAATTCTGCTTTAGAGCTTTAAGATTGTGTGTCATAAACGTGTTTGAAGAATAGTTACCTCTAACAGCAGCTTTAGAAATGTCAGTTTCTTCATTAACAATTTTATTTTCAAACACAATTTATGGTTTACAATATGGTAAGAGATTGTTCTCACCGTGTGATCTTTCAGAATGCTGTGCCTAGCAAAATGGGAGCGACTTTCCTTTAATATCTATTTAGACCATTTTAAAAACGTGTATAATTTTCTTGATATACCTAAACTCATTTCGACTAGTGGGGGTCTATTGTGTAAGAACACATTCTGAAAGCTTTCAAAATGTGTATTGTGTAGGTTTTCTCAGGGAAAGAGAGGGGGTGACGGGGTGGTTTTCAAGAAGAACAGAGGACTCTAATCCTTTTATTTTTATGCAAGGCATAATTTTTACCAATTGAGAAAATTTGGTTATTTGCTGCAAGTAATTTCCTTCCCCCACAAAATGATAAGCCTTAAAAAACCATGTGTATTCTATCATTTCGAAACCATGCCAATATTTCAGAATTGGACTAAAAATTAGTTAATATAGCCATGATATGTATGGCCAGTATACTTTGTCCCTCCTGTTTATAGAATGGACAGTACACAACGGTGGTGGTGGTGGTGGTGGTGTTTTTTAGTTTTATTTTTTAAGTACCTTGGATATTGGACCATTCTTGAGGGTTCTTTGATGAAAGCATGTTTTTTTTTTTAACCTCGCCCGAGGACATTTTTTCATTTTTTTGTTTTGTTTGTTTGTTTGTTCATTCAGATAGAGTGGGAGGGAGAGAGAGAAGAGAGAGAGAGAGAGAAACATCGACGTGAAAAGGACACATTGAGTGGCTGCCACCCACACGACCCAACCAGGGCCGGGGACAAACTGCAACCGTGATACGTGCCCTTAGCAGGAACTGAACCTGGGTCTCTCTGGACCGCAGGCTGATGCTCTCACCGCTGAGCCAAACCGGCCAGGGCGAAAGCATGTTTTATATTTACCTTTTGAATATCTGTGGTCTTGTCAAGAAAGGTATATTTTTAAGAGCAGCCTACAGAGATACTTCCCATTTGATTTTTCCCCTCTGCATTATTGAAATCATAGGACAGTATCCCCAAACTTGTATATTTTATTTCTCAAATATTGCATTTTACACATAGTAACTTTGTGGTTAGAACTTTTACCAGTTGTAGCATATTATGAAAATGAATATATTTTTTCAAGAGATGAGAAGAGAAATAGATTTTTTTCCTGTGGCAATCAGAATTGATTATTGGGAAAGTATTACATTGATACATGCAGAAAAGTGTCTCAATTGCATAATACTGATTATATAATAAATTCCAGGTGGTGATGGCATTGAACTTTAAATCTAGATAGAAGGGGATGAACAGCAGTGGTATTTAATTTAAGAGTGAAATGTCAGATTAGAATGTTAGTGAGACAGTGCTACTTGAACATAGCTGTCGGTGATCATTGTGAACTTCAGTGTCCTTAATGTGTGACAACAGATGCAAAATTCATTGAAAGGGAGGTGTGCTGTGGTACTGATTATTGACCTTGATCCTGTGATATCCCATTTTGCCAGTCTTAGAAGATCACAGCATTCTGTTTTCTATGCCAAATTAGTTTTGAAATTCTTGAAATATAAACCTAAAAATCTATTATGGGATACTTTTAAAAGAAGGCTATATCACAAAAGTTGAAGAAAAAACTCAAAGGTCTAAACCAACCATAGTTATAGGCTATGCATTTGAGAAGCAGAAAAAAAGATATTCATATATGTTTAAAATTTGCTTTAATTTAGTGCAGCGATTTTCAACCTTTTCCATCTCATGGCACACTTAAACTAATTACTGAAGTTCTGCAGCATGCCAAAAAATACATTTTTTGCTGATCTGACCAAAAAATAAACATAATTTTGATTTATTCACACCAGACAGCTATTGTTGTGTTGGCTATTGTCATTTTTTTTTATTTGGCAGTCTTAAGAGAAAAGAGGTCAGTGTCCTTGACTAAATAGTCAGATACTGCATGTCTTAAAAATTCTTGTGGCACACCGGTTGAAAATGATTTAGTGTATGGTAGTTGAATAGAAACTGGAACTTGGAAACATTTAAAAACACACTAATTTTTAAACTTGCTGATCTTCCAGTTAAGTGACTAAATAAATCTGTAATCAGAAAACCTGTAGGAGCCATTTATTAGACATGGGTGACAGACATTTTGTCCTAGATTCAAAGAATGTACGTTTCAGAAAGGAAGTATTGATCCCTTTGTTGTTTGGTGTGTTCATTGATTGATCGTGAGCAGCCGTGCTGCCCCTCACCCTGGTGCCATTGCTCTTTCCTGGCAGAGCTCAGCAGTAGGCATCGTGATCAGCTTTACCATGTCCTCCTGACTGCTGTGCTCTAGTGGGAGGTGGTGTGGGGGTGGTGCTTGGGAACAGTCTCCTTGGTAAGGCAGAGCTCCCATGCCCTCGATAAAGAGCCACTGATTTATTCCAACCCAGGCGCAGTCGGATTGGAACTGCCATAGTTACTGAGACCAGTATCAGATGGGATGCTTTTCCAGAGGGCTATTTAGTTGGGATCTATTTAATTCTTAGTGGAAAACACTGTTTTGGAATAGGCCAGAGCTGTCCTGCCTAAAGAGGATGCATAACAGATTTTAAAGGGCAACACATTTAGAATAAGATTTCTTGCTTTTCATAATATGCATAACCTCATCAGTTCCTTCAAGGAAATGCTTATCTTGTTGCTACACTTTACATTAGGTTTAACGTTTTCAGTTGTACAGTACAATTTTGGGGAGATATATTTTAGGAGCAGTGTAAATTGGGTATATTTTACTAGTGGAAGAGTTCTTTAGAAGGTAGCCTTTGTTAGCATATTTTTGACATGTTAAAAAATTGACATAATTTTCTAAGATCTTTAGGGCATTGACAATTATGCTTTTGTGTATGAATTTTATTTCCACAAATCATGGTTAATGCATTTAAAAATATTAATAACTATGTATAGAAATACTTACATTTCTATTCTTTTGCTTTTGTAAATTAATGATTAAGGCCTTAAATTTCTTTATTTTCTCTTCAAGGTTCAAAAAGGAGAAAGAGAGTCCAGAAGTAAATCATACGCTGTGAGCCAGTTTTTCTTTTCTTCCTTTCATTGGACTTTTTCTTCTTTTTCTATTTTGAGTGTTTCCATGTGAGTCTTGTGGGTGGGAGGACAGGGAAATACCTATGTCTTTGAAAAACAAATTTTTTATTACAATAAATGCTTTGTACAATTTATTAAAGGCTAAGTTATACAATTTAAAAACCTTTAGGTTGTATGTACTCTTTAAGCTGTCCCATGTGTGTGAGAGGTCTGGATCCTCAGAGAAAATGACTGTGGCTGCACTTTCCAGTCTTGTGTATTTCCCAGAGTCTGTAACGTGTTTGACCAGTTCTTCCTTTTAAGGAATATGAAACTTAAAATAAAGGGATCTTTTTGCTTGATATAAATACACAATTTATTGTGGCCATGAGTTTGGTTTTTATTGATTTTCAGTTCCCCAAGCATTGCTTAAGCGCCTGCTGTATGAAACGAGAGGCACAAAGAAAGGAAAGGATGTGAAAGAAGAAGTGGGTAATAAGTGCATCTGTGACAGGTCAGATACGCATGTTCGAAGGTTAGTTATGTAAGAATCATGGAAGTGTGCAAACACGATGGTGAGGAGACATGACAATCAAGTGGTGGCATGTCACAGATTTTATAGACTGGCTTCTTTTAAGGAAATCCTGTGAAATCCATCTGTCTGTCTCTGTCTGTCTATCTGTCTATCTATCTGTCTATCTATCTATCTATCTATCTATCTATCATCTCTAGCTATATCTTACTCAGATTATTTTTCTTAAGAGTTTTATTTTTTTTGTAGCGTATAACATTTGTATAGTAAACCAAGCACTTGAGAGTTTTGGTGATTAGAAATTTTAAGATGTGGACTTTTTATAGTTGCCCTAGAAACAAAAACTTAGAATTTAAACATTTATGAACAATTTCAGGATTTACTTTGTTAGAGAACCTGGATTGGATTCTCTAAATTGTGGCACACTTCACCAGTTGTATCATGCACAGTGTTTGTTTATTTAAATATTAAAGCATTTATTTTTAATATGTGTTCAAAATACAAGTAGAATGTTAAATTGATGATTTTCTGTACTGCTCAGGACAAGCATCATTTAGATATTTCAGTTTTTTAAAAGTGAGTTGATCTGAAGAAGATATTTAGTAACAGTATGGATGGGATGTTAACAGGAAAAATATCATCCAGGTTGTACCAAGTTTGAGCATCTCTGGACCAACAACACAAAGACTGGAACTTTCACTGTGGGATGTGGGCATTTAGTGTCCGTGAAGCATTTGTCCCGAAGTGGTCAGGTACTGAGAAGTGCAGAGCAGATCTGTGGCCTCTCTGTAAAGGCTCATCTTCAGTGGCTCTGTGTTGTCGGGCTCTGTGTCGGAACTTGGCTCTGGGCAGAGACTTCTGCTTTCTGTAGGAGGCTGGATTTTAGTCTTCATCAGTGCTGTGGTCCCAAGTTTATTTGTAACACCTAAATCAACTCTCAAGTTCTGTTTCAGACACATTGACGCTTAAAATAGGATACAATGTGTGTGGTGTGTTTTTGTGTATATGCCTTAGCCTTTTTTATTTTTCAAAACACAAAAACATAGCAAAACCTGTTGGTTAAATATTAAGAAAACAAATATTTCCTCACATATTGTTTTGAACAAGTGCTGGCATTTTCTCGAATGTTACTCTGTTGGCAGGGCTGCAGATAGGAAGCTAGTACCATAGTAGCCGGTCTGACTCACAGCTGCACCCTTGTCGCCGGTTTTCTTTCCCTGCCTTAATGCTGGCTTTTCTTACCCGCCTTGTTTTTTAAGAAAAATGGTTAAATAATCTTGTCATCTGGATTCTTGCTTTTTGTTTTTGCCTTTTTCAGTTCTACATTTACTGTGTTTATCTTGCATTGTCTTTATTTTCTTCCCAGTCCCTCATTCAGTGGGGTCTGCCATTCTTTGTTCACCTTCACAGTCCAGCTTCCAGGTCTGGTGTGTGCCTAGCACTGTTTTGTCACCTTCTCTGCCGTTTTCTCAGGTCTGTTGGAGACCACCACCTTTGTCCGGCTCCTGTCCTTCACGCAGCAGGAGTCGTGTGCTCCACGTTTTCTAGAAAGCAACCAGTAAATCTTTGTAACTGACTAAGCCCGGAAGTAAAACAGCTTCTGGGTGTTCATCAGGAGTCTTCTCTCAGACAGACAGAAGCCCGGCCATTTCTCTGATGACTGTGTTTGGTGTGCCTACAGAGACCTCTGCGTGGCACAGGGTTAGTGGCAGGGATGAAAATTCTGTGCATTTGGGGTGTGTGTGAGTGTATTGAGTATCATATGCTTGTTTATCCTTTAAAATTAAATTTTTAGTGTTCTTTATTATTGTGGTTATCCAGATGTATTAATAACACACGGTCATTGTAGAAAATTTAGAATGTACACAAACTGTCAGAGGACAAGCTAGCCATGCTACTGTCACCACCAACCGCTGAATGTTCTGACGCCTTCTAGTCCTTTTAGGCATTTTTATCTTTAAATAATTATCATACTTTATCTAAAGCTTTATGTTCTGATTTTTAAAGCTAACACAGTATTTTCCATGTTATTAGAGATAATATAATTTTTATGTTTTTATATTTTTTCTTAGGGACTTATGATACTTTCATGACCATTTCCCTAATAGTGGTGTGTAAGTTGTTTTCGGTGTTGGAATAGTATAAGCAATATTCTTCAACAAAATTGGGCAGAAATATTTGTACACACAGGTACAAATATTTCTTTAGATTTTCAAAAGGGAACCACTTGGCCAAAGACTAGAGCAAGGGAAGAGGTTACTGATGCTCACTATCAGATTGCCTTGCAGACGTCCATCCCTGGGTGCTTGCCCAGTAAATCAGAGCTGATGAGCGTACGTTGTCATCCCCGAGTGTCACTGGCCTTTATAACTGATAACGTAAATTCTTCCATGGTTAGTGAACCTGAGCACTTTTTATTTATGAACTGCTCATTCTGTTCTCTCTCGGTGTGTTTGTACTGTTTGTATAGTAATAATCTTAACCTTTGTCACGCTTGTTGCTGACATTTTCTGGTTTATTTTTTGTTATATTTTTTATTTTTATGAAGTTTGATTTTTATGGTTTAATCTAGTGATCTCTTTCATTATAAATTCTGCCACTGTTTTAAAATATTTTCCATCTTGAAATCAGAAATATTTACCATGACTTTTTCTAGGGTTTTTGTTTCAATACTTCTAAATTTTTAATCCATGCAAAATTTATTTTTGTGTATGTATATGCCATGAGATAAGAATCACAATGGATGTTTTACTAAATAGCTAACCATTAGTTCCAGTAACATTTGTTACATAAATTCTCTTCCCCACCGGGATGTGTGAGGTCTGTTTTGTTACATATTAAGTTTTTATGGGGGGGGGGGTTGTTTCTGGACTAGTGTTTGATTTCATTGATCTGTCCTCATGCCCACATAACATTGATTTAATGTCAATTAATTCTTATTTATTGCTCAAATCACATTAACAGAAATCAAAGGGGAAGAAAGACTTTACAAACTCATCACCAGTACAAAATTCAAACTCTTGTCCTTTGGCTGGGTTGTTTTTTTGTCCTGTTTCATGCCTCCTTAATGTTTTCATAGTTAAAACAGTTGCGCTGAGCTCTGTGTTTTTTGTTTCTTTCTCAAAGTGAACAGGTTATTCTGTGCCCCTCTCATTTATGAACTGTACAAAGAGTACAAGACACTCTGAGATACTAACATTGGAAAGGGGTCTTTCAGTAAATGTGCCCCCCACTGTCCAGTGATTCTGTGTGGTATACTGCTGACCATGCGGTTTGGGCAACTCGGTCACTCGGGTGTTATTGTACAAGCAAAATGCTCACCATTTCCATTGTACTGAGGATGTGTTATTCATCTAGTGATGAACTTTCTTTATGGCAGGAGCATTTAAATTTGTGAGTACTATTCCTGAATTTTTGTAGTTTGGGCTCGTCATGAAAAGTTGCCTGTGATATTTCTGCATTGAGCAATTTAGTTTTATTTATATACCACTGTAGATTATCTTAGGAAAAACTCCACTTCTTGATTAGTTGAGTTTAGCATTTGTTATAAGTCTGAGTGCTCAGAAGTATGGGTGGAGGTGATCTGTAAGGTCATCCTGTGCCTGGAGTGGAGGCTGGGAGGGGTTTGGAAGGTGAGACTGCAGTTCGCAAGGGGAGGCGGAGGGACGGGGTTCTGAGGTCGTTCCTGTTTCTACAGGCCGTCTTTCTGCTCCTGATAGCCTTGAGACGCCTGACAGTGCTCACAGTTCTGTAAACGCACACCTCCTAACACGGGCTGCAGTTGTTTAAAAACGGACAAATGTGGCATTCAGTGTTCTTTCTGACCTTGACACCAACACCTTAGTAGAGAAGTTTGTGGGGTTCCTTCGTGGTATAATTCTCAGAGGTGAGACATGCCCCTGGACACATGCTCAGACTTTCCAATGAGGGTCCCAGTCCTGTTAGTCGTGGAAGTCAGAGCGAAGCAGCTGAGGGGCCTGCCGACCCTGAGCACGGTGACGTTCTGTGGCGGTTTGTCACTGGCAGAGACCTGGGAAGTAACGTGGGTTCTATTAGATTGCTTGGTGAAGAGGGGGAGCGGAAGAGGTCCCGTCTTGAACTCTTAAGCACTGCGGCCGCCCCTCCCCCGCCGGCCAGGTCAGCACTGCGGCCGCCCCTCCCCCGCCGGCCCGGTCAACACTGCGGCCGCCCCTCCCCCGCCGGCCCGGTCAACACTGCGGCCGACCCTACCCCGCCTGCCCGGTCAACACTGCGGATGCCCCTCCCCTGCGGCTGCCCCTCCCCCGCCTGCCCGGTCAGCACTGCGGATGCCCCTCCCCTGCGGCTGCCCCTCCCCTGCCTGCCTGGTCAGCACTGCAGATGCCCCTCCCCTGCGGCAGCCCCTCCCCCGCCTGCCCGGTCAGCACTGCGGATGCCCCTCCCCTGCGGCAGCCCCTCCCCCGCCTGCCCGGTCAACACTGCAGATGCCC